CATTTGTCTTAGGTTCATTAATTTACTTACTCTCCTCACAGTTTGTTCCATTAAATCCTGCCTCACAAGTGCAGTTGTAATCATTGATGATGTCCTCACATGTTGCATTGTTTTGACAAGGATTTTCTGCACATTCATCTATATCTGTTACAAATAAAACGCATAAGATATGATTTACAGATAAAGAATATGCAATGGTTTGCAATATTGAATAATTATTTCATTCACTACTGGTAAAGGATTTCTAAAACTTTCACTATGGTTTGAATTGGTTTGGTTATTTATTTCACCACTGGCAAAGGATTTTGAAATGTTCACGAGACTTTGAAAATAAGGTGTGTAGTTTTCAAGCCCGGAAGAAATTGATTGCACGACTGAAAAAGACTTCTTTTATGGAACATATGGAGATAACCAACAGCATTCAAGATCACACGTCCGTAAAACAATACAAAATGGGAGCACAGCAAACACGGACCTCCAAAACATGAGATGTGGGATCAGGTCATGATATTGATCAAGAGAAATCTCAAGTAAGGACTAAGTGAGAGAAGCGTCGTTAAGGAAATTATTGGGAGATATTAAGGAGTAGACGGATAATTCAGGGGACGCCAGAAAGGGGTCAGGTTATACAGGGGTTAGGTTAAAGGTACGTCAAGGTGTTGAATACTTTCAAAATATCTTTGTCCCGTGGTGGAACCATAGACTGGTATGAGAGATCAGACTTGAAAAATTGTGAGATAAGGATTAAAATATGAGTATAACTTGACTGACGTCTAAAAGATAAAGTGTACTTCTTTCAGAAAAAGTCAACATTTCCTTGAAAAAAAATGCTTCGTTCTATATACTCACTGTTTGTACAATTTGTGTCATTGAATCCTGCAGCACAGTTACATTGGTAATCATTGATGAGATCAAGGCATGTCCCATTGTTCTGACATGGATTTTCAGCACATTCATCAATATCTGTAAGAGATGCTCTTTGTTTAAACATAACTGATTTTAAACTAGTTTAATTCACCGTCATTTCATATCATTTTCATTGACTTACCTTCCTCGCAATGTTTCATTAAATCCAGGAGCACAGCTACACTCATAAGCATTGATGAGGTCCGCACATGTTCCATTGTTCTGACAAGGATTATCGGCACATTCATCAATATCTGTAAAAACGTCTTTCATGTAATCCCAACTTTCACTTATAGAAAGGATAGCCAATGTTCTTAAGCATTGAGTATCAGAATTTATAGAGTTGTGATATCTAAAACGTGATCTAAAGTTTCATTTGTCTTAGGTTCATTAATTTACTTACTCTCCTCACAGTTTGTTCCATTAAATCCTGCCTCACAAGTGCAGTTGTAATCATTGATGAGGTCCTCACATGTTGCATTGTTTTGACAAGGATTTTCTGCACATTCATCTATATCTGTTACAAATAAAACGCATAAGATATGATTTACAGATCAAGAATATGCAATGGTTTGCAATATTGAATCCAATCAGTCATTTCATTCACTACTGGTAAAGGATTTCTAAAACTTTCACGTGATGGTTTGCAATTGGATCGGTTATTCATTTCACCACTGGCAAAGGATTTTGAAATGTTCACGAGACTTTGAAAATGAAGGTGTGTAGTTTTCAAGCCCGGAAGAAATTGATTGCACGACTGAAAAAGACTTCTTTTATGGAACATATGGAGATAACCAACAGCATTCAAGATCAAACGTCCGTAAAACAATACAAAATGGGAGCACAGCAAACACGGACCTCCAAAACATCAGATGTGGGATCAGGTCATGATATTGATCAAGAGAAATCTCAAGTAATGACTAAGTGAGAGAAGCGTGGTAAAGGATATTATTGGGAGATATTAAGGAGTAGACGGAATAATCAGGGGACACCAGAAAGGGGTCAGGTTAAACAGGGGTTAGGTCAAGGTACGTCAAGGGGTAGAATACTTTCAAAATATCTTTGTCTGCGGTGGAACACATAGACTGGTATGAGACATTCAGACTTGAAAAATTGTGAGATAAGGATAAAAATACTATATAACTTGACTGACGTCCAAAAGATAAAATATATCTTCAGAAAAAGTCAACATTTCCTTGAAAAAAAAAAGCTTCGTTATATATACTCACTGTTTGTACAATTTGTGTCATTGAATCCCGCAGCACAGTTACATTGGTAATCATTGATGAGATCAAGGCATGTCCCATTGTTCTGACATGGATTTTCAGCACATTCATCAATATCTGTAAGAGATGCTCTTTGTTTAAGCATAACTGATTTAAAACTAGTTTCATTCACCGTCATTTCATATCATTTTCATTGACTTACCTTCCTCGCAATCGGTTCCATTAAATCCAGGAGCACAGCTACACTCATAAGCATTGATGAGGTCCGCACATGTTCCATTGTTCTGACAAGGATTATCGGCACATTCATCAATATCTGTAAAAACGTCTTTCATGTAATCCCAAATTTCACTTATAGAAAGGATAGCCAATGTTCTTAAGCATTGAGTATCAGAATTTATAGAGTTGTGATATCTGAAACGTGATCTAAAGTTTCATTTGTCTTAGGTTCATTAATTTACTTACTCTCCTCACAGTTTGTTCCATTAAATCCTGCCTCACAAGTGCAGTTGTAATCATTGATGAGGTCCTCACATGTTGCATTGTTTTGACAAGGATTTTCTGCACATTCATCTATATCTGTTACAAATAAAACGCATAAGATATGATTTACAGATAAAGAATATGCAATGGTTTGCAATATTGAATCCAATCAGTCATTTCATTCACTACTGGTAAAGGATTTCTAAAACTTTCACGTGATGGTTTGCAATTGGATCGGTTATTTATTTCACCACTGGCAAAGGATTTTGAAATGTTCACGAGACTTTGAAAATGAAGGTGTGTAGTTTTCAAGCCCGGAAGAAATTGATTGCACGACTGAAAAAGACTTCTTTTATGGAACATATGGAGATAACCAACAGCATTCAAGATCAAACGTCCGTAAAACAATACAAAATGGGAGCACAGCAAACACGGACCTCCAAAACATCAGATGTGGGATCAGGTCATGATATTGGTCAAGAGAAATCTCAAGTAATGACTAAGTGAGAGAAGCGTCGTAAAGGATATTATTGGGAGATATTAAGGAGTAGACGGATAATTCAGGGGACGCCAGAAAAGGGTCAGGTTAAACAGCGGTTAGGTCAAGGTACGTCAAGGGGTAGAATACTTTCAAAATGTCTTTGTCTGCGGTGGAACACATAGACTGGTATGAGACGTCAGACTTGAAGAATTGTGAGATAAGGATGTTAACACTGGTATAACTTGAATGACCTCTAAAAGATAAAATATATCTTCAAGAAAAAGTCCACATTTCCTTGGAAAAACATGCTTCTTTATATATACTCACTGTTTGTACAATTAGTGTCATTGAATCCTGCAGCACAGTTACATTGGTAATCATTGATGAGATCAAGGCATGTCCCATTGTTCTGACATGGATTTTCAGCACATTCATCAATATCTGTAACACATGCTCTTTGTTAAGCATAACTGATTTTAAACTAGTCTAATTCACCGTCATTTCATATCATTTTCATTGGCTTACCTTCCTCGCAATTGGTTCCATTAAATCCAGGAGCACAGCTACACTCATAAGCATTGATGAGGTCCGCACATGTTCCATTGTTCTGACAAGGATTATCGGCACATTCATCAATATCTGTAAAAACGTCTTTCATGTAATCCCAACTTTCACTTATAGAAAGGATAGCCAATGTTCTTAAGCATTGAGTATCAGAATTTATAGAGTTGTGATATCTGAAACGTGATCTAAAGTTTCATTTGTCTTAGGTTCATTAATTTACTTACTCTCCTCACAGTTTGTTCCATTAAATCCTGCCTCACAAGTGCAGTTGTAATCATTGATGAGGTCCTCACATGTTGCATTGTTTTGACAAGGATTTTCTGCACATTCATCTATATCTGTTACAAATAAAACGCATAAGATATGATTTACAGATAAAGAATATGCAATGGTTTGCAATATTGAATCCAATCAGTCATTTCATTCACTACTGGTAAAGGATTTCTAAAACTTTCACGTGATGGTTTGCAATTGGATCGGTTATTTATTTCACCACTGGCAAAGGATTTTGAAATGTTCACGAGATTTGAAAATGAAGGTGTGTAGTTTTCAAGCCCGGAAGAAATTGATTGCACGACTGAAAAAGACTTCTTTTATGGAACATGTGGAGATAACCAACAGCATTCAAGATCAAACGTCCGTAAAACAATACAAAATGGGAGCACAGCAAACACGGACCTCCAAAACATCAGATGTGGGATCAGGTCATGATATTGATCAAGAGAAATCTCAAGTAAGGACTAAGTGAGAGAAGCGTCGTTAAGGAAATTATTGGGAGATATTAAGGAGTAGACGGATAATTCAGGGGACGCCAGAAAGGGGTCAGGTTATACAGGGGTTAGGTCAAGGTACGTCAAGGTGTTGAATACTTTCAAAATATCTTTGTCCGTGGTGGAACACATAGACTGGTATGAGAGATCAGACTTGAAAAATTGTGAGATAAGGATTAAAATACTAGTATAACTTGACTGACGTCTAAAAGATAAAATATATCTTTCAGAAAAAGTCAACATTTCCTTGAAAAAAAATGCTTCGTTCTATATACTCACAGTTTGTACAATTTGTGTCATTGAATCCCGCAGCACAGTTACATTGGTAATCATTGATGAGATCAAGGCATGTCCCATTGTTCTGACATGGATTTTCAGCACATTCATCAATATCTGTAACACATGCTCTTTGTTTAAACATAACTGATTTTAAACTAGTTTAATTCACCGTCATTTCATATCATTTTCATTGACTTACCTTCCTCGCAATCGGTTCCATTAAATCCAGGAGCACAGCTACACTCATAAGCATTGATGAGGTCCGCACATGTTCCATTGTTCTGACAAGGATTATCGGCACATTCATCAATATCTGTAAAAACGTCTTTCATGTAATCCCAACTTTCACTTATAGAAAGGATAGCCAATGTTCTTAAGCATTAAGTATCAGAATTTATAGAGTTGTGATATCTAAAACGTGATCTAAAGTTGCATTTGTCTTAGGTTCATTAATTTACTTACTCTCCTCACAGTTTGTTCCATTAAATCCTGCCTCACAAGTGCAGTTGTAATCATTGATGAGGTCCTCACATGTTGCATTGTTTTGACAAGGATTTTCTGCACATTCATCTATATCTGTTACAAATAAAACGCATAAGATATGATTTACAGATCAAGAATATGCAATGGTTTGCAATATTGAATCCAATCAGTCATTTCATTCACTACTGGTAAAGGATTTCTAAAACTTTCACGTGATGGTTTGCAATTGGATCGGTTATTCATTTCACCACTGGCAAAGGATTTTGAAATGTTCACGAGACTTTGAAAATGAAGGTGTGTAGTTTTCAAGCCCGGAAGAAATTGATTGCACGGCTGAAAAAGACTTCTTTTATGGAACATATGGAGATAACCAACAGCATTCAAGATCAAACGTCCGTAAAACAATACAAAATGGGAGCACAGCAAACACGGACCTCCAAAACATCAGATGTGGGATCAGGTCATGATACTGATCACGAGAAATCTCAAGTAATGACTAAGTGAGAGAAGCGTCGTAAAGGAAATTATTGGGAGATATTAAGGAGTAGACGGATAATTCAGGGGACGCCAGAAAGGGGTCAGGTTAAACAGGGGTTAGGTCAAGGTACGTCAAGGTGTTGAATACTTTCAAAATATCTTTGTCCGTGGTGGAACACATAGACTGGTATGAGACATCAGACTTGAAAAATTGTGAGATAAGGATAAAAATACTAGTATAACTTGACTGACGTCCAAAAGATAAAATATATCTTTCAGAAAAAGTCAACATTTCCTTGAAAAAAAAAAAGCTTCGTTCTATATACTCACTGTTTGTACAATTTGTGTCATTGAATCCCGCAGCACAGTTACATTGGTAATCATTGATGAGATCAAGGCATGTCCCATTGTTCTGACATGGATTTTCAGCACATTCATCAATATCTGTAAGAGATGCTCTTTGTTTAAGCATAACTGATTTAAAACTAGTTTCATTCACCGTCATTTCATATCATTTTCATTGACTTACCTTCCTCGCAATCGGTTCCATTAAATCCAGGAGCACAGCTACACTCATAAGCATTGATGAGGTCCGCACATGTTCCATTGTTCTGACAAGGATTATCGGCACATTCATCAATATCTGTAAAAACGTCTTTCATGTAATCCCAACTTTCACTTATAGAAAGGATAGCCAATGTTCTTAAGCATTGAGTATCAGAATTTATAGAGTTGTGATATCTGAAACGTGATCTAAAGTTTCATTTGTCTTAGGTTCATTAATTTACTTACTCTCCTCACAGTTTGTTCCATTAAATCCTGCCTCACAAGTGCAGTTGTAATCATTGATGAGGTCCTCACATGTTGCATTGTTTTGACAAGGATTTTCTGCACATTCATCTATATCTGTTACAAATAAAACGCATAAGATATGATTTACAGATAAAGAATATGCAATGGTTTGCAATATTGAATCCAATCAGTCATTTCATTCACTACTGGTAAAGGATTTCTAAAACTTTCACGTGATGGTTTGCAATTGGATCGGTTATTTATTTCACCACTGGCAAAGGATTTTGAAATGTTCACGAGACTTTGAAAATGAAGGTGTGTAGTTTTCAAGCCCGGAAGAAATTGATTGCACGACTGAAAAAGACTTCTTTTATGGAACATATGGAGATAACCAACAGCATTCAAGATCAAACGTCCGTAAAACAATACAAAATGGGAGCACAGCAAACACGGACCTCCAAAACATCAGATGTGGGATCAGGTCATGATATTGATCAAGAGAAATCTCAAGTAATGACTAAGTGAGAGAAGCGTCGTAAAGGATATTATTGGGAGATATTAAGGAGTAGACGGATAATTCAGGGGACGCCAGAAAAGGGTCAGGTTAAACAGCGGTTAGGTCAAGGTACGTCAAGGGGTAGAATACTTTCAAAATGTCTTTGTCTGCGGTGGAACACATAGACTGGTATGAGACGTCAGACTTGAAGAATTGTGAGATAAGGATGTTAACACTGGTATAACTTGAATGACCTCTAAAAGATAAAATATATCTTCAAGAAAAAGTCCACATTTCCTTGGAAAAACATGCTTCTTTATATATACTCACTGTTTGTACAATTAGTGTCATTGAATCCTGCAGCACAGTTACATTGGTAATCATTGATGAGATCAAGGCATGTCCCATTGTTCTGACATGGATTTTCAGCACATTCATCAATATCTGTAACACATGCTCTTTGTTAAGCATAACTGATTTTTAAACTAGTCTAATTCACCGTCATTTCATATCATTTTCATTGGCTTACCTTCCTCGCAATTGGTTCCATTAAATCCAGGAGCACAGCTACACTCATAAGCATTGATGAGGTCCGCACATGTTCCATTGTTCTGACAAGGATTATCGGCACATTCATCAATATCTGTAAAAACGTCTTTCATGTAATCCCAACTTTCACTTATAGAAAGGATAGCCAATGTTCTTAAGCATTGAGTATCAGAATTTATAGAGTTGTGATATCTGAAACGTGATCTAAAGTTTCATTTGTCTTAGGTTCATTAATTTACTTACTCTCCTCACAGTTTGTTCCATTAAATCCTGCCTCACAAGTGCAGTTGTAATCATTGATGAGGTCCTCACATGTTGCATTGTTTTGACAAGGATTTTCTGCACATTCATCTATATCTGTTACAAATAAAACGCATAAGATATGATTTACAGATAAAGAATATGCAATGGTTTGCAATATTGAATCCAATCAGTCATTTCATTCACTACTGGTAAAGGATTTCTAAAACTTTCACGTGATGGTTTGCAATTGGATCGGTTATTTATTTCACCACTGGCAAAGGATTTTGAAATGTTCACGAGACTTTGAAAATGAAGGTGTGTAGTTTTCAAGCCCAGAAGAAATTGATTGCACGACTGAAAAAGACTTCTTTTATGGAACATATGGAGATAACCAACAGAATTCAAGATCAAACGTCCGTAAAACAATACAAAATGGGAGCACAGCAAACACGGACCTCCAAAACATCAGATGTGGGATCAGGTCATGATATTGATCAAGAGAAATCTCAAGTAATGACTAAGTGAGAGAAGCGTCGTAAAGGATATTATTGGGAGATATTAAGGAGTAGACGGATAATTCAGGGGACGCCAGAAAGGGGTCAGGTTAAACAGGGGTTAGGGCAAGGTACGTCAAGGGGTAGAATACTTTCAAAATATCTTTGTCTGCGGTGGAACACATAGACTGGTATGAGACGTCAGACTTGAAGAATTGTGAGATAAGGATGTTAATACTGGTATAACTTGAATGACCTCTAAAAGATAAAATATATCTTCAAGAAAAAGTCCACATTTCCTTGGAAAAACATGCTTCTTTATATATACTCACTGTTTGTACAATTAGTGTCATTGAATCCTGCAGCACAGTTACATTGGTAATCATTGATGAGATCAAGGCATGTCCCATTGTTCTGACATGGATTTTCAACACATTCATCAATATCTGTAACACATGCTCTTTGTTAAGCATAACTGATTTTAAACTAGTCTAATTCACCGTCATTTCATATCATTTTCATTGGCTTACCTTCCTCGCAATTGGTTCCATTAAATCCAGGAGCACAGCTACACTCATAAGCATTGATGCGGTCCGCACATGTTCCATTGTTCTGACAAGGACTATCGGCACATTCATCAATATCTGTAAAAACGTCTTTCATGTAATCCCAACTTTCACTTATAGAAAGGATAGCCAATGTTCTTAAGCACTGAGTATCAGAATTTATAGAGTTGTGATATCTAAAACGTGATTATAGTTTCATTTTGTCTTATTATTGATTATTGATTATTGTCTTAGGTTCATTAATTTACTTACTCTCCTCACAGTTTGTTCCATTAAATCCTGCCTCACAAGTGCAGTTGTAATCATTGATGAGGTCCTCACATGTTGCATTGTTTTGACAAGGATTTTCTGCACATTCATCTATATCTGTTACAAATAAAACGCATAAGATATGATTTACAGATAAGGAATATGCAATGGTTTGCAATATTGAATCCAATCAGTCATTTCATTCACTACTGGTAAAGGATTTCTAAAACTTTCACGTGATGGTTTGCAATTGGATCGGTTATTTATTTCACCACTGGCAAAGGATTTTGAAATGTTCACGAGACTTTGAAAATGAAGGTGTGTAGTTTTCAAGCCCGGAAGAAATTGATTGCACGACTGAAAAAGACTTCTTTTATGGAACATATGGAGATAACCAACAGTATTCAAGATCAAACGTTCGTAAAACAATACAAAATGGGAGCACAGCAAACACGGACCTCCAAAACATCAGATGTGGGATCAGGTCATGATATTGATCAAGAGAAATCTCAAGTAATGACTAAGTGAGAGAAGCATCGTAAAGGAAATTATTGGGAGATATTAAGGAGTAGACGGATAATTCAGGGGACGCCAGAAAGTGGTCAGGTTAAACAGGGGTTAGGTCAAGGTACGTCAAGGTGTTGAATACTTTCAAAATATCTTTGTCCGTGGTGGAACACATAGACTGGTATGAGACATCAGACTTGAAAAATTTTGAGATAAGGATTAAAATACTAGTATAACTTGACTGACGTCTAAAAGATAAAATATATCTTTCAGAAAAAGTCAACATTTCCTTGAAAAAAAAATGCTTCGTTCTATATACTCACTGTTTGTACAATTAGTGTCATTGAATCCTGCAACACAGTCACATTGGTAATCATTGATGAGATCAAGGCATGTCCCATTGTTCTCACATGGATTTTCAGCACATTCATCAATATCTGTAACACATGCTCTTTGTTAAGCATAACTGATTTTAAACTAGTTTTATTCACCGTCATTTGATATCATTTTCATTAACTTACCTTCCTCGCAATTGGTTCCATTAAATCCAGGAGCACAGCTACACTCATAAGCATTGATGAGGTCCGCACATGTTCCATTGTTCTGACAAGGACTATCGGCACAGTCATCAATATCTGTAAAAACGTCTTTCATGTAATCCCAGCTTTCACTTATACAAAGGAAAGCCAATGTTCTTAAGCATTGACGGATCAGAATTTACAGAGTTGTGATATGATATCTAGAATGTGATCTAAAGTTTCATTTGTCTTAGGTTCATTAATTTACTTACTCTCCTCACAGTTTGTTCCATTAAATCCTGCCTCACAACTGCAGTTTTTTAGAGTTAGAGAATATTCCATAGTTCGCAATATTGAATCGAATCAGTCATTTGATTCACTACCAGTAAGGGATTTCTTAAGCTGTAAGGTGATGGTTTGAAATTGGATCGATGATTTTTTTCACCACCGGCAAAGGATTTTAAAATGTTCAAAAGACTTTGAAAATGAAGGTGTGAAGTTTTCACGCCCGGAAGAAATTGATTGCACGATTGAACAAGAGGCCCAGGGGTCACAGCGCTCACATGAGCACATCAGCTAGGAAAATGCACATACCATGATTTGGACGAACTAGAATCTACACTACCTGAGGATAATTCTACATAAATATTACTAATCATGGCTTTGAAGTACTTGAAAAGAAGATTTTAAAAGGTTTCCCTATATATTCCTATGAGAATTTTTGGTCGGCCATTTTGGCCCCACCCTACCCCTGGGGGTCATGATTTGAACAAACTTGAATCTACACTACCTGAGGATAATTTCAAATGAGTTTCATCTTTCCTGGCATAGTGGTTCTTGAGAAGAAGATTTTTAAAGATTTTTCTTATATATTCCTATGTAAAACTTTGATCGGCCATTTTGGCCCAATCCTACCCACGGGGGTCATGATTTGAACAAACTTGAATCTACACTATCTGATGATGATTCCACATGAGTTTCATCTTTCCTGACATAGTGGTTCTTGAGAAGAAGATTTTAAAAGGTTTTTCTTATATATTCCTATGTAAAACTTTGATCGGCCATTTTGGCCCCACTCTACCTCTGGGGGTCATGATTTGAACAAACTTGAATCTACACTATCTGAGGATGATTCCACATGAGTTTCATCTTTCCTGTCATAGTGGTTCTTGAGAAGAAGATTTTTAAAGATTTTTCCTATATATTCCTATGTAAAACTTTGATCGGCCATTTTGGCCCCACTCTACCCCCGGGGGTCGGGATTTGAACAAACTTGAATTTATACTACCTGAGGATGATTCCACATGAGTTTCATCTTTCCTGGCCCAGTGGTTCTTGAGGAGAAGATTTTTCAAAATTTTTCCTATATATTCCTATGTAAAACTTTGATCGGCCATTTTGGCCCCACTCTACCCCCGGGGGTCATGATTTGAACAAACTTGAATCTACAGTACCTGAGGATGATTTCACATGAGTTTCATCTTTCCTGGCCCAGTGGTTCTTAGAAGAAGATTTTTAAAGATGTTTCCTATATATTCTTATGTAAAATTTGATCGGCTATTGTGGCCCCACCCTACCCTCGGGGGTCACGATTTGAACAAACTTGAATCTACACTACCAGAGGATGATTCCACATGAGTTTCATCTTTCCTGGTCCAGTGGTTCTTAAAAAGAAGATTTTTAAAAAATGCCATTAATTTTTCACAAATTCATAATTATCTCCCCTTGGAAAAGGGCGTGGCCCTTCATTTGAACAAACTTGAATCCTCTTTACCCAAGGATACTTTGTAGCAAGTTTGGTTGAAATTGGCCCAGTGGTTCTTGAGAAGAAGATGAAAATGTGAAAAGTTTACAACAAAGACGACAACAACGACGACGACGACGACAACGACAACAACCACAACGACGACAGACAACAGACAAATTTTGATCAGAAAAGCTCACTTGAGCCTTTGGCTCAGGTGAGCTAAAAGACTTCTTTTATGGAACATATGGAGATAACGAACAGTATTCAAGATCAAAAGTCCGTAAAACAATATGAAATGGGAGCACAGCAAACATGGCCCTCGAAAACATCAGATGTGGGATCAGGTCATGATATTGATCAAGAAAAATCTCAAGTAATGAGTGAGTGAGAGAGTGTCGTAAAGGATATTCTCAGGAGATCAAAGGTAATAGACGGATAATTCAGAGGACGCCAGAAAAGGGTCAGGTTAAGCAGGGGTTAGTTCATGACACGTCAAAAGGTAGAATACTTTCAAAATATCTTTATCTGTGGTAGAACACGTAGACTGGTATGAGACATCAGACTGGAAGATTTGTGAGATAAGGATTAAAATACTAGCATTACTTGAATGACCTCTAAAAGATAAAATATATCTTCCAGAAAAAGTCAACATTTCCTTGAAAAAAACATGCTTCTTTATATATACTCACTGTTTGTACAATTTGTGTCATTGAAACCTGCAGCACAGTTACATTGGTAATCATTGATGAGATCAAGGCATGTCCCATTGTTCTGACATGGATTTTCAGAACATTCATCAATATCTGTAACGGATGCTCTTTGTTAAGCATAACTGATTTTAAACTAGTTTATTCACCGTCATTTCATATCATTTTCATTGGCTTACCTTCCTCGCAATTGGTTCCATTAAATCCAGGAGCACAGCTACACTCATAAGCATTGATGAGGTCCGCACATGTACCATTGTTCTGACAAGGACTATCGGCACAGTCATCAATATCTGTAAAAACGTCTTTCATGTAATCCCAACTTTCACTAATACAAAAGATCGCCAATCTTCTTAAGCATTGACGTATCAGAATTTATAGAGTTGTGATATCTCAATTGTTTTAGGTTCATTAATTTCCTTACTCTCCTCACAGTTTGTTCCATTAAATCCTGCCTCACAACTGCAGTTGTAATCATTGATGAGGTCCTCACATGTTGCATTGTTTTGACAAGGATTTTCTGCACATTCATCTATATCTGTTACAAATAAATTGTATAAGATATAATTTAGAGATAGAGAATACTCAATTGTTTGCAATTGGTTCGGTAATTTACTTCGCTACTAGCAAAATGTTTTGACTTGAAGCCATCGCTATCTTATAAAATCGATAGCTTGAAGGGGACTTTGTAAAAAATGTATTCAGTTTGCAAGTATGGCGGAAACTAATTACACGACTGAAAAAGAACTTTCTTAGATAATGGGAAGGATCGTTAGGTGCTATGTCAAGTCATGTCAAGGAGTAGAATTGGGTTTCAGGAGCAATGAGAAGGGATATGTTAGGAAAGAGTCTGGGTGACAAAGGAAGAATGGCACTGGAACCTCATTTTTTTCAAATCTAAGGGACAAATTTCTCAGGAGTTACAGCAGGAACTGAAGTGACAAATTAATCAATACTTTAATTTGTCTTAATTTCATTAATTTACTCACTCTCCTCACAGTTTGTTCCATTAAATCCTGCAACACAACTGCAGTTGTAATCATTGATGAGGTCCACACAAGTTCCACTGTTTTGACAAGGATTTCCAGCACATGCATCAATATCTGTATCAAATATATTTTATAAGACATATATAACCTTCAAGAGGAGGATTCCAAATGTTATGGAATCGGATGTACAATTAATTTTAGAATTTGAAAAGTACAAATGTATTTTTGAGTTTATTTTTACCAGCTGAAAGCCGTACGTTGTCTAAATTTTTATTTTCTGAGCATTAATATATAAAAAAAAAAATTTAAAAAAAAGTCGGACTAATGAAATACATGTTACAACAACCTTTTAAATTCAAATATTTCGTGAGTAACACCTTTTGTTTTTGATTTGGTTTTCGTGACAAATTGTCATACGCTGATACCATATATATGAAGTTATTCGGAGACTTCCTAGCTGAATAATTGTAAGACTGTTTGCTGTTCATATATCTAAATTTTATTTCTTTTACATGTCGTCATTATTTTACTCTTCTCTTACTGTATTGAATTTGAAATTTAGAAAATTCAGTATTCAAAGCTGTATATTATGTACTATAGAGTTTCTAGGGTCCGGGTACTATTTTGCGCTTGAGAAAAAACTACATGTTTATATCATTTCTATACAAATAACGCGACGTTGTAATTACACAGTTTTGTATTTCAACCGTAACTAAACAAATTTAAGAAAAACAAAATACGTGTTCACCTTTGTACATATTGTCAATTATGGTAAATATCGTATGATATCTGATGATTATTTTCTTACCTGTAAGATTTACTGTAATGCACCGTGAATAAGACGAAAGTCTGCAACACATATTAAATGGTTTGGAAGAATTAATTATCAACAATAAAGTTAATCAACTTTTAAATTATAATAAAATCATTGGTTTTAAATAACAATAGAATCGTATTTATTTTAATCAACGATTTTTTTCATTGAAGAATACAAAAGTAAAACTGACGCAGTATAACCGTGTGTAGATATCAATGTTCATTCTTAAGATAAACTTCAAGGTAAAATATACGCTAGACAGATAACAATCTCGAGCTCTCTTAAAACTGAACTAGGACCAAGAAGTTTTATCCTTTATATTTTTTCTCAAGTATTAGAACTCATTGTATAAAGAGAAACAATAGAAGTAAAAATGTTGACATAAAATATTAGATTTTTGACCAAAAAAATTGTTCAACAATCTAATCAGAATTTTATTTTTTTAATTTCCTAAATTGTATCAATTATAATTCTTATTTTCAAAAAAAAAAAAAAAAAAAAAAAAAAAAAAACAACAACAACAAATGCTGTGACTGATATAAGTATGTAGCCCAGTTTCACTTGTTTACCAAGGTAATCCTCCATGCCACCTGATCACACCTTTGATTTTTTAGTCCTTTAATAATTGTTTGCCCTGTTCTCGATGTGTAAAGTTTCAGTAGCTCTTTGAGGTTGATTACTGTTCGTTATCTCCATTTTCCACTGAACCTCTTTTATTCTTTATTTATGAAAATCAGACAAGGTCAATGATATTTTTTTTAAAAAAAAAAGAATAAACGTACTGCAATGAACTTTGTTTATATCTAAGGAGGCTGACTCCTATTGTCAAAGGCATTGAGAATGTTTTGTCAAGTATATAGAATCTGCATACATAATTTAATAAAAATTCAAAACAAAAAAATTGGTGTCGGTGTACTTCTTTTAGCAATACAAACAATTTGACCATTTTGCACTGTGATAATGACTAACATATAAATAAATTTCTGTAAGTGCTTCCTTTGCTAATTTTTTAAAATCTAAAATAGTCCCATTAAATGTAGCAAAAAATTTAAGATAGTCTCAAACTACTTCGCACAGTCATTTATTTGACTTTTCTGTACCTCAAAAATGTTATTTTTCTAAGGTAAAAAAAATCAAAAAGCAATAAAATCATTTGAAAGTGATACTAGTATCATTGTTCTGGATTTAAGATATCCATCCCAGATAAGGATCAAATTTTCTTACCTTAAGTATAAATTGTGTATAAAATACTCTGATATAATTTCATTTTTTTTTTTTTACTGAATTTGGGTTTCTGAACAAATTATAGATTAAAATCTCAAAAGTTTATAGTCCAAAATTCGATTTTTGGAAATTTAAGTTAATGATATAGAATGTTAAAATTTGAAAACTTGTTTTAAATTTGAAAATTTAGATTTTTGAACTAAAATATTAAATTTCAAAACACCAAATGAGTTCAAATTTTTAAAATTTAGAAATTGGAACTAATATATTAAAATACTAAAACTCAAAAACATTTTAAAAATAAGAATTGTTAAGTGTTACACGGACCCAATTGTGCCGATTAGTAAGATATGTATTACGTTTTTCAAACTTCAATTGTTTTTATACCTCATTTTATAATCACTTACATAGATAAGTGTCCCTGGCGTCCAATTCATTATGCCATTACCAATCTTATACTGCTGTATGAATAGTATACATTTATTGCATGATAGTGAGGGAAATATGAAGATTTATTCAGCCAAGAAAAATCATATCATGATATTTTTGGCTGAATAAATCTTCGTTTCCTTCACATCACATCACTAATCAGCAATTTTGTGACGTAAGCCAGGCTATTGTGACGTCTACTACTCTCGGAAGTTTTCTTTCAACGAACGATAACTACACATATTGTGCTTGAAAATGCCCTAGTTATCCGAAGAGGTGGAATATGATGCTAATCATTCCGACGACTGTGAAATATGAAGTTTTATGGCCCGATCACGTGAAAGTTTATAACCAATTAGATAACGCTTTGTGTAGAATATCTATAATAAAGTATGATAATATTTTTATCAATTATATATTTTAGTGTACAGCTGCATGAAAATGTATCTTTAACATACGCTTTAGAATTACAAAATTTAAATTTTTCAAAATATTAGAATGGTAAAGTGTAGTTTTGGCATCGAAATTTAACTCTCTTCCGTTAGACTAATTTTATGTGTTAAATAAATGGTTTTGTATTTGGTCAGGTATTTATTATGTTCATTTAACTGAATTTCATATTTTAACCAACATACCTGTAAATGTAAAGCAAGTTTCAAAACATTTATAAAAATAGTACGAAATGTGTATTGTCAAAATGCTACAACTTAAACAGAAATCATTTTAATTAAGGTATGACACTCGCAGGCAAGTACAAGTAGCAACCGGGGGGGGGGGGGGGGGGCAGGGGGGCCTGACCCCCCACTTTTTTCCCCAACAAAACTTATACTATAGGAATTGTTCTGTGAGAGGCTGGTTGCCCCCCCCCCCCCCCTAACTTTATACTACTGAAATTGGTATAAGGAAAATGTAGTGTTGAATATACAGAAAAATTGGTTCTGAAAGAGGTTAGCATTGAGAAAATGTTGCCCCCCCCCCCCCCCCCCCCCCCAAGAAAAAGGATTTTCGATTTTGGCCAAAGGCCCTTTTTTGTCAACTTTTTCTTGCAAGTAAAAAAAATTTTCTTTTGCACTTAAATTTTAATTCTTTGGTTAATTACGTTAACATTTATCATATTTAATCAGATGTGACTATGCCAATAAATATGATTTTATTTTACGTAAAATATTTTGAATAATATTTATCATTGAACAGATCTTGCACATTCATGTGCGTAAATTATTGTGTGACATTTTTCCACTAAAAAGTAACATATATTTAGGGTATTAAAAAGCTAAATAGGCAATGAAACATTTTCTTAAATCAAGATTTTTACAATTTAAGTGCTGATCTTTCACATGTATCGAGTACTTTAAAATACATGTAATGAAAGAAAAAGGTCAGTGATGTTAATTTTGAAAAATTTGTCAAACTATGTGATTTTCATGCAAAAAATGGTGTAAATTTTATCTTGACTTAATTTGACGTATCTTCTTTTTTTGGCAAAGGTTGCTAAAGGAAGTGTAAATTAAGACCTATATTAAATATCCTAGCAATATCATAACAGAAATATTCTCCGAATAAAAGAATGTGAGGCTAAAGTTCCAAGATATTGAATTTGATAAATGTACAGATTTGCAGAATTATCTGCTAAATATCCTTCAACCACAAGAAATAGTCCCTCATAAATATTGCTTCTTTGTAGCTTTTTTGAGCAGTTTTTTTTCGCTGAATGTTAAAACATTAACATTGTTGAAATTAAAGAACTATATGCGGTATGTTGCATATATTTGCCCCCGCAAAGGTCAAATTTTGAAAACTTCCTAAAATGTGCTGAATTCAATAAATTGTATGAGAAATATAAATTAACAGAACATATTATAGTTTCAAAGAAGTATATTCACAATTTTTTGATTTATGACGTCAAAAACTAGTCCGATTTTATATCCTTTTTCAGAAAGAGGACAAAATAGACAAAATTTCAACAATTTTAGCTTTAAAATTTATAGAGCGCAAGTTTGTTCAGGAACAATATTGACATATTTCGTTGATATTATCATTCTACACATTATATCAAAATATTGATCCTGAACAGGCATGCGCTCGGTGACTTTTACTCAAAATATTGATGAAATATGTACATTTTTCTATAAAATTCGTAAAAAACTGAAATTTACGTCATGTTTGTGACGTCATTACGTACATATGACGTCATAACTTATGAAAATATTCAGTGTTTTGAAGTCAGCATATATTCCCCTGTTTAAGAACTTAATTAAATATATCTCCATCAAAGTTTGATTTGGGGGACAAATATTGGTTATTACCAAATAAAGTTCTTTGTTATAAAAATTGAATTTTAATAAATAGTTTTAAAGTAAGGGGTTCTGCGTGAACTTTTTTAAAAAGCTGAGCGATATACCTTAAAAATTAAATATCGTATTTCTTTCACATTGTATTACTTTCAAATTCGATACACTTATGTCTTGTCTTACCTATTGTTTGTTTCCGCTGAGAAACATAAGATATATTCTCCAAACTGATCTACATGAGTTGCCGTAAATGATATCGTTACTTCATACTCGGAAGGCGCTGGATTTGAAATAGCAGACATCAGAAGATTGAGTGGTGACAAAATATGAAATTTGTTGATCCTAAAGTATAATTTATTGAGATTCATATTAAGCAATATTCTTGATAATGAAATGTTTTTATTTAGTGTTTAAGAAAAACAAAGGAAACAAATTCAAATAATTATTTAATAATATTTTCATCAAAATCTATGCATGGAGAATTCAATAACAGATTTCAAAATAAGGAAAAATAATAGAAAGAAATACTTTCTTTGTAAAAAAAAAGCAACTAAATATATAATTTATTAAAATGAACCAAAAGATATATAGCATGACTGACAACTTTTGAAAAACAAGCAGACGCATAACATATAAGGATCTCCACTTATTCACACATCATATCTGACGTACGTACCATTCGCTATATATAATAATCACCCGCACTTGTAACTCCAGGGAACCATTATAAGCTTGTATTGTTGACCCGTTGGCAGGAGTTGGGGATAAAAATGTAGGTTGGTTAGAACATGAGCCAGTTGAGTTAACGTTTACGATAAATTGTAGAGGAACACTGCTCAGAGCCAAACTAGAGGCTTGGCTTGTGAAATCCTCTATCTGTATTGCGATGGCGTAATTACCATCAGGGGCGGTTCCACTGTACGTTAATTTACATGTTGGCTGCAAGTGACAAATCAAAAAAAAAAAAAATAGTCATGATTGTAAAATACCTTCTCTCTTTTATACCTTTTGTCAATCAATCGATCAATTTGTTTTTTCAGTTTCCACAGATTTATTGCAAACAAATGTGTAAGGATAAACAAACATGTAACGTTAAAATTTTAAAGTAAAGCCTTTGATATAACTTACAGAATAAAAATTGTAAGTACAACTTAGTTTAAGATGAAGAAATCTATTTTTTTTGTCTAATATCTACGAAAGGTCTCATCTTTGCAAAATAAAATTTTGATTCAAGTAACTTAAACACATGGGAATGTAAGTCATAATACAAAATTTATTGATCATCAAACAAGGAATAACATATTGGGAATACACGCTGGCATGGTGGTTGTTCATATTGCAAGTACATGTTCATATGTACTTATACTGTTTTTAATAATCGGAATTCTAAAATTTAAACCCATGGCATTGAACAAAAAAGAAATTTCGATGAAAATAATATTGTTAATTTTTTGACTGGGTTCAATACAAAATGCGTTTTGTCTGACCAAAAATACTGTTTGCCTGGGACTGTAGGGCGGACTTAGGCAAATAGAACGTTGATTTCTTTTCATAAAAATTCTTATCCTATAAAATCAATGATAATGAGGAAGAATTTTGTTAAAAGCAGAAAAAGGACTCGTATATCCCAATGAAGTATCATATTTTTATCAAGGTATCCGTATTTGAAACTGTAAAGACAAATGTACCCCCTCCCTAATCTTTTCTAATTGCAACTTTCAAATATGCTTTCATACATTTTACTATGTAATAATTATGTATAAGTAACTCACCACTACTTCAAGTAGATTTAGGGGACCAAGCCTAGCACCGTTTGCACTTCAACCGTTTAAAGAATTATTTGAAAGCAAAGTAAATTTCATGATACCCCGATCCTTACAGCTTTCAGTTAATACTTTGATTTAAAACACAACAGATTGTCACACATCGCATTTTAAAAGACGAATAAAGCTAAGATATTTTTTTTTTTTACATGATTTTCTTTCTTTCCCCATGTGAAAATTCAACAATGTGAAGCCATCAATTTATGTGTCATCATTTTGAATAGAAACCATTTACATAGCTTAAAGGGTTTATCTTAAAGTTTTCTTTTTAAAAATGTATGTGATAAATAGAGCACCTATAATAGTGTGATTTGATGTCGACTTTATCCAACTCGTTAAAATGGAAAGTCTCGTGAATATACTCCATTTGAACTTGTTTGATTCATAAAGTCAACATCAAATCACACAGTATAAATATCCGCTCTTTATTTTGCTTGCTCTTTTTTGTGTTTTTGACGGTTCATTTGCACCAAAAAAAATGTTTCATATGTACTTACCCCATGCAATGAAAAGTATGAAGAAGGTACGCTACAAATACCAGCGCATTCTGCCGCGGAACTGGCAAATCGACAACGTACGTCATCTCCATCATAGTCCGCAACTTTAAAATCAATTGATTCTTTTCAAACATGTTAAAAAGTCAATAGACAGAGTCCTCAGTATGGATAAATATACAAATAGTATTTTTGCGATACAAAATCATGGATTTCATTTTTATCTTAACATATATAGTACAGTGTATATATAATTAATATGTTCTTTTATTTTCATTTTCAATATTTATTTTGAATCAGCATATAAAATACCTGGAATTATAATTGGCTGTGAGGAACACGAATTTAGAACTTTGACAGATGAAGCCATTGCTGAGACAGGTGATTGGTTAATTTTTCCTGTATCAGAACGCATGGATAGATCAACAGTCATTTGTAAGGACCATGAGCTTCCACCATTGAGTAAAGTAATCCAGGCACTGCTAGCAAATCTACCAATGAGGCATGAGTAAAAAAATATTTTTGGGGATGTAATCACCAAATTAAGATGAACACGGGTTATTATGTAAAGTTCACGATGAAAAAGTTAAATTCATCTCATTTTTACGAATGAAAAAGCCAGTTTAAGATCGTCTATTTATCTTAATGCAGAGTCGAAGGCTAAGGAAAGTGTTTTCTTCTTTTCACGTAGAATGTCTAGATGAAACTTTGCTTCAAAAAAGTGTAAAAGTTGTTCAGCTAATAAAAGAGCATTATAAGTACACTTTGGATTTCAAGCAGCAAGTTGGAAGAGAGGTCTTAGAGGACTCTATAGAAAACTCAATAAATTTGTCAATGAGGAAAGTCGTTTTATTATCAACCTCAAGGTAGAATCAGTCTGATTTTAAATGATGTTATTTGTTTGATAACCAATCACACGGCAAAATAAAAATTCCTATTCTAAATTTCATAAAAAAAAGTTTTCTGTGATATAAAAAAACCCTCGTTTTCATTTATTTTTAGTACTGGCTGTATTAATTAAAGAAATTGATGTTTTTGAATTTTTAAAAAGTTTGTTTTTTCATTTTCTAAAAGTTTTAGAGTGTTTGAGAATCTCAATCTTATATCAATCATTTAATTATATATTGGTGTAGCACAGTACGTCTGAAATTTCTCTCGAACTGCAGTTATTGTTTTCTTGAAGAGTAGGGATAAAGCTTAATTATTAGAGTATTGGCTAGATTATGTATGTTTGTAAGAATTTTTGATGAAGTTTAAAAATCTAATGTACATGTAGGCTAAATAGAACTCACTTTGGTTACTGGAATGTTAAGAACATAGCGTAGTTTTGAACTTAAATTTTTTATTCCCTTATATTTTAAAAAGGTTTTCGAAAATGAAGGAGCTTTTTGAGATTAATTGATGCCTTGCAATAAATACTGCAGACCCCTTTTACATAAAGGTACAAGCTAAAACTTATATGTTAATTTTTCTTGAAAATATATTAGGGTTTTTAATTCATATCTTGTCAGAAGTCCTTCTTATGTTTGTATAAGAGAGAACATCTTATGGTTTTATGCATCTAAATTGAGATATATTCAAATTATCAGTTGGGAAGTTTTATTGTAGAGTTTATATATATGTGTATATGAACGTTACGTATATATAGTATAGTCCATAGATGTAATAGATTATCAAATAAAGTCTACATGCATAACTTTTTTGCTGAAATCATATATATAGCTGTAGAAAAAAGATGTGTTAGTGAAAAGCAATAAACTATAAAGTTCAAAAAAGCTATTTGGTCACAGTCAAGGTCACAAGGTCATTGACTTTGGTGTCATTTAAAAAGAACTCAACTAGTGAAGTAAGCAAAACAAATATGTAGTCTCTATCTCTCGTGGTTCAAAAGTTATGGTGAAGCTTCGAAAAGACTATTTTAGCATATAGGTCACAGTCAAGGTCACAAAGACATTGAATTTGTTGCGATTTGAAAGAGCTTAATTACTTTAGTATAGGATGCTTACCAAATATGAAGTCTCTATCATTCATGATTCAAAGGTTATGGCAAAAATTCGAAAAAGCTATTTCAGCATATAGGTCACAGTCAAGGTCACAAGGTGAATGACCTTGTTGTAATTTGAAAGAACTTATATAGTGGAGTATGCATACCAAATATGAAGTCTCTATCTTTAAATGGTTCAAACGTTGTGGCGAACATTAAAGTTGACAACAGACAGACAGATAAACAGACAAACAGATAAACAGACAAACAAACAGGACAAAAACAATATACGTCCCGGATCTATCGATCCGGACGCATAAAAACATATTTAATGCATATAATGGATATAACGTAGTTGAATCTTGACACAGGCAATACTGATTTTACGACAAGTATGTGCGCATTATTTGCATTTCGTTCTGCTTTAATGACTTTTAACTCTATATAGAGTCAAAAGTCATTGAAGCAGAACGAAATGCAAACGTAATGTTTTTTTAAATCGCCGAGGATTAAAAATCTTACCAAATTACAGAGAACTCAACGTATGCTAAATTCTGGATAGGATAGGATTTATCTACTGATTGACTGATATAGTACCAACCGGACGTTCTGTGCTTAGTAACTTATTACAATAACATTCATTAATATATAAATTGAATAGAAAAAGCTTCTCATACCTCATCAAAAGTGATGTTGTATATGATGTAAATGTAAAATCTGTATCTCCCTCACTATCTGCCCAGTTTTCAGTTGCACTATAGTCCGTACACTGTCCTATCATGCTGACACTTCCATTACAACCGGCGAAGCATTGTAATGAATCAGTTGTACTACTTGTTGGGCAATTGTGAGTGTACACATATGAAATACGATGATGCACCGTAATCTACAAAAAACGAAACAGATTTAGTTTTAAGTATGCAGGATTAGACAGTGTTAAAGCAAAAAAAAAAAAATCAATTTTGACACAAAACTAATTAAAACAACTTACCGTTGTTTCATTAATTGCTCTCCATGTTAGTAAACCTCCACGAAAATGGCTTAACTTTACAAATGGCACGACAAACAGAACAATGAAAAAACAATTAAATAAACGTATCATGATCCCAAGTTTATGATTTTTTCGTCCTCTTTTTCATTTTTTTTTAATATTCCATTTAGAGCATTTCTATCTTCAATTCAAATAAAACATCGTTTTTACTTCCTCTTTCACTATATTTCTAAATCACTATTGATGTTCTCTGCTTAGTGGTGATTCGATGTTCAATGTACCACGGTAATTATTAAACTGCAATTGTTTGAGGCATTTAAATTCTATTCATGTGACACTAGCTTTAAATTTCGTGCATGTGTTTTGAGAATCATTTCGTCCCATTATTGTGCACTTTAGGTGTATTTCTGAGGTCAAAAATTTTTTTTCAAAGAAATGGTTTGACGGAGTAGGTCATGCAGGAGATAGACATCTAACAGTTATCACATACACTAGTTTTGTTTCCATAGGTATAAATTACTATCATAAATGAAATTAGATATGCGAGTGAAAAAAGATTTTGCCTATATAATATAAACAAAACAAGAGATTCAAGGTCCTAAACGGTCACTTACGAAATATTAAGAGGATGCAGAGAGTATATAATAACTTTTTCGCTTAAATGCAAGAGATAGAGGATGATCAGGATCAATGAAATAATAAGTTAAGTGTTCAGTTAAAATTCATAAGTTTAGTTCTAATGTGTCCTCCATTTTCACTTTCACCACGCAGACTTAAACAATTAGTACTTCTGCACTTCTGTTCTATTTATACCATGATACCTTTTTGTCAAAAACATTTTATATATATATTTTTATCTTTGTCCCATATTTATCGATTTTATCATTCACAACTACTTGGTAATTAAAACAATTTAAGCCATTTTTCAGAATAATACCTTACAAATTTTAAGAATGAATTATAATCTTTTTAAATAAAAATTATATCACATGCACTATTACTTTTTATTAAAGTTGAAGAGCAAGCAACATGTACATGTATATCAATGTGATAAAGTTTGAATTAACTGTTCCTTAAATAATTCTAAGTCTTTTATGCATTATTAAGATAAATTTTTACCATTTCGTATCCCGCATCTTGCGCTCCCTACCCCAGGAGGAACATATTTTGATCAGACTGGAATCTGTACCACTTGAAGAAATCTGCACAAATGTATGGTAGCAATTTCTTTTGGCCGAATGCTAACTCAGGCGCTTTTTAGTACTATAATGGCAAAATGAAACCGGAGACACATTCATTATTTGTAAAGATTATATTATTTTGCCATGTTTCCTACTTATTATTTTACTTAATCTTATTTATTAAACCAGTTTCATATGGTGAGACGTTTCCATACTGACAGGTCCAGTCTTCCCTGGGGGATGGAGTCTCACTAGAATTCGAAGCAAGTCTTCCTGGGGATCTAACTACAGGAAACAGTGCGACATTTAACTCCGGACACGACATAGTCCGGACTTTTTACTACCATTTCTAACTGTAATGTCCAAAAAAATTTTACAGTACCTGGTGGGATTTCTTAGCAGTATCATATATTCTCATGTTGAACTCATAGACATCTCTACTTTAAAAGATATGAAGTCCTAAATATCAGAATCCCATGGGAGAATGGTGGGATTTTCAGTCCCACCAACGATCCCACCATTCTCCCATGAGAGAAAAAATGTCAGATGGGAGAAAAAAATCTCAGATGGGATTTTTTTCTCCCATTAGGATTTTTTCTCCCACAAAATTGTTCAAATGGGATAAATCCCACGGATATTGACAAATGGGATATTTTCTCCCATAAATAGTCAAATATGGGATAAATCTCATAGAACATGATATGTGGGACATTTACTCCCATAGATATTCAAATATGGGATAAATCCTATATGTAACTGATCAATGTTGCATCCAAATATTTTTAAGTAATTGATATTCATACGCATATTATCTGAAGTAAATACTCTTTTTGAAATTAATTAACAATCATCTCATCAAAACATTGCTTATTAGTTTAAAAAAATACAAGAGACCCAAGGGCCTTAAATCGCTTCTGATAAATTGTACAATCTATCACTTCTATACTGAAAGGAAAAAGAAACGCACAAGAACATGATATGGGAAAATTTTCTGACTATGTAACCGAAAATTATGAAAATTGGTCAGATGTTTTATTTTGGTTACTTTGCACTAAAATCACTTGTCAAAACTACTCAACCATGAAATGTATGGCATCACGTAGGGGAAATGAAAAAAAGTAAAAAACACGTGCATGTTAATGATGTTAATTTTGTAATAGAATTTTGTAGCACCATACTATGCATTAGAATTATAGACATCGTTTTTGCATATTTGCAGTCAGTATATTCTTGCAATCGTGGTATGGCTGACGGAATCTACTGTTGGTTTAGTATTTGAATTCAATATTGCATAAGTGAATAAAAGGCAAAAACATGCTGATGTACAGACTGTTTTCAACTTTTCAACCAAATAAAAGTGCTTTTTGGTTGTCAGAGAGTGAACTTAAAATGTTTCCAACCAACCATGACGGTGACGTTGGCGCGTATCAACGTCACAACAAGATAAGGCTTTTCATCACGCCACCTCGGTTATTGTCAAGGCATTATCACCGAAACTGATATTTATACAGCAGACAAACATGCTCATTTTTTTCACCCTAAACTGACAGAAACTCTCCGCTTTAATTTGGGCCGCGAGCTTGGCCAGCTTACGTCGATTTTATTCACAAACGCGCACGTACGCGTCGTTTTCGTAATGTTTTTTAGCATGTTTACACTGGGAAAATGTAGCTTATATTTGTCGATACTTTTTTACAAACATTCACAAGTACCAAACCTGCTTGGTTCTGTATATTCTATCCTAAATCGAAAATTCGCGGGATTCGATTGAGCGAGGGGATTTGTTAACTTTGGAATAATACAGCTAATCTCTACCGTCGGAAGGGTTGACTAATAATGCTATGAAAAAATAAATGCTCTGGTGAACTCAATGCACAGGAAAATCAAGTTTGTTACTGATGCGAAAGGGAGATTATAAGAATTTTTAGTTTTATTTCTGGGGGGTGTCACTATATTGATATCAATATCTCAGAAACTATTACTCAAAATCGCACAAAATTTTGGTAACTTGTTGATTAAAGATGAATTAAAATGAACGATAAAAATGCTGAAAAACGTATTTGAAATAATTGTTTTAATTTAACTCAAAAGTTTGATATGCGTTACTTAATCCTTTCAGTATATTTGAAGCCTCTAACGCTAAGTATCCTATGAACCAAGATGCGTGAACAGTCAGAGTTTGAAGATTCTAAGCCAAAAAGTACCCGAGATACTAAAATATAGCCATAAAATGTTAATAGTAGGTCATCATGGCCAAAGTTTGATAATTCTAAGCCAGTAAGTACCTGAGATATTCAAAAGTAGGTCATGATGACTTACATTTTGGTCGACATTATCCGAAAACCCAAGATGCATCAACTGACAGAGTTTGAAGATTCTAAACCAAAGAGTATCCGAGATACTTAAATATAGCCATAAAATGTCACAAGTAGGTCATTATGACCTAGTTTTTAAAAGACATTCTCTGAAAACCCAAGATGCATCAACTGACAATGTTTGGAGATTCTAAGCAAAAAAGTACCTGAGATACTTAAATATAGCCATAAAAAGTCACAAGTAGGTCACTATGACCTAGTTTTTGGCCGACATTCTCTGAAAACCCATGTTGCATCAAGTGACAAAGTTTTGATGATTCTAAGCCAATAAGTATCCGATAGAGTAAAAAGTAGGTCAATGTGACCTACTTTTAGGTCAACAGTCTTTGAAAACCCAAAATGCATCAACTGACAAAGTTTAACAATTCCAGACAATTAAGTACCCAAGATACTTAATTATAGCTATAAAATGTCAGAAGTAGGTCACCATGACCTAGTTTTTGAACGACATTCTATAAAAACCCAAGATGCATCAATTGACAACGTTTGATAATTGTAAGCCAATAAGTACGTGAGATATTCAAAAGTAGGTCACTGTGACTTAGTTTTTGGTCACATTCTCTGAAAACCCAAGATGCATCAACTGACAAAGTTTGAAGATTCTAAGCAAAAAAAGTACCTGAGATACTTAAATATAGCCATTAAATGTCACAAGTAGGTCATTATGACCTAGGTTTTGAACGGTACTCTCTGAAAACCCAAGATGCATCAACTGACAAGGTTTGGAGATTCTAAGCCAAGAAGTACCGGAAATAGTTAAAAATAGGTCACTGTGACCTACTTTTAGGTCAACAGTCTTTGAAAACCCAAAATGCATCAACTGACAAAGTTTAACAATTCCAGACAATTAAGTACCCAAGATACTTAATTATAGCTATAAAATGTCAGAAGTAGGTCACCATGATCTAGTTTTTGAATGACATTCTTTGAAAACCCAAGATGCATCAACTAACAAAGTTTGATAATTCTAAGCCAATAAGTACCTGAGATATTCAAAAGTAGGTCACTGTGACCTAGTTTTTGGTCGACATTCTCTGAAAACCCACGATGCATCAACTGACAAAGTTTGAAGATTCTAAGCCAATAAGTACCTGAGATATTCAAAAGTAGGTCACTGTGACTTAGTTTTTGGTCGACATTCTCTGAAAACCCAAGATGCATCAACTGACAAGGTTTGGAGATTCTAAGCCAAGAAGTACCGGAAATAGTTAAAAGTAGGTCAATGTGACCTACTTTTAGGTCAACAGTCTTTGAAAACCCAAAATGCATCAACTGACAAAGTTTAACAATTCCAGACAATTAAGTACCCAAGATACTTAATTATAGCTATAAAATGTCAGAAGTAGGTCACCATGACCTAGTTTTTGAACGACATTCTATAAAAACCCAAGATGCATCAACTGACAACGTTTGATAATTGTAAGCCAATAAGTACGTGAGATATTCAAAAGTAGGTCACTGTGACTTAGTTTTTGGTGGACGACATTCTCTTGAAAACCCAAGATGCATCAACTGACAAAGTTTGAAGATTCTAAGCAAAAAAAGTACCTGAGATACTTAAATATAGCCATTAAATGTCACAAGTAGGTCATTATGACCTAGGATTTGAACGGTACTCTCTGAAAACCCAAGATGCATCAACTGACAAGGTTTGGAGATTCTAAGCCAAGAAG